ATATAGCTTTAAACTAAATATAAATAATTATTAAATGTCCTTGTCTACACAAAAAATAATAAACACAATGGTGAAAAGTTTTAATATTGTTGTCTAAATAAAGTATATAGGTATTTTAAATTACCTAAAAAAAATAAACAGGAAAAATTGTGAATATGTATTTTAAAATTTTAAAACTATTAAAAAAACGACTTAAAGACTTTACCTCACTTTAATTTTTAATCCTATTGACCGAAAAACAAAAGTCTTATCAACATAAATCGAAAACAATATAAAAAGTAGATATTTTAAACGTTAATAAAAAGTTCAAAAGAGCTAACATGAAAATGTCTAGAAAATTCTAATTTCAATATTGATGAAAATTTTAAGTCTTTATAATTTCTTTTTGAATTAAAAAAAAAAATCTATTTTATCTTTAGCTAGTGCTGCTCAAATACAACTTTATTTATGCTATTTTTTGTTAGTTTTTCTCCATTATTACGACTTAAAATCATCGATGTATACGAGACTATAGTCTCTTCACTCAAGCCACACATCTGTCAATTCACATAATCTATCTTTTTGACTTGTTGTTCTAAAAATATACAGATTGCTGAATTTAAAAATTAAAACTTTTTTCTATTTTTGATCTCCAGAGAATATTAAATATTGATGATTGAAAGTTTACCATTGAAGTAAGAGTAAATGTTTCGTTAATACAAAATAACAAAATAAAACATATCATATCATTGTAAAACCAATACATCCCTACCTCCATCCATCAATCAAACTCTAAAATTATGAAAAATAATTTTTATTATTTAACTATTAAGTATTTAGTAGCTCTTTATAGAAGTTAAAATACATTTATAAAACATTGCCTTAAATATTTGGTAGATATAAGATGCTTGGGATGAAAAAATTTATTATGACAATACTTGATTATCATTGTTAATTTTTTAAATTAAATTCTTTGTAAAATATAAATAAAACATACTAAACATAGAAAGCAGCAGGTAATAATTACTTGATATACTAATACGTAGAATACTTTGTTAATTAGAAATCAAGACGTATGTAAACAGCTGAAGAAAATCTGTCCGTTAAAAAACTTCAAGAATATGGTTCGCATATTATTACAGAAGTTACAGTGTATTAAATGAGGTTTCTTAAAATAGAAGCCTTTATTTTAAAGCACCAAGGTGAACACCAAGAAAGTTATTGTTTACTAAATCTATTTTCATTAGATTAGTGTGATTTTAGAATTGATTTCTAAATCTTTTATATTATTTTAACTTAGCTACTTAATTTATAGCCGGTAAATAAGTATCTTTATGGAGAGTTTAAATTAGAACATAAACTGGAGCTGTAAATATGATAATTATTATACCTACGAGCTACATGTAGAATGTGAAATTGAAGAATTTAAATTTACAAGTAAAAAAATATATTAATGATTATACAGTTCGAGATCATAAATTTCGAAGGTTTGCGTCTTTACATAAAAATGAATATTAAAATTATTATTATTAAAACTGACAGTAGGTATTTAGCATTCATAATTCTACTAATATGTATCAATTAATCTTTATAACTACTATAGACTCATCTTTAATTTACTTTCATAATTCCTATTTTAAAATATTAAAGTTTCTGTTATCGGTTTACATGAATGTTTCCATTAAATGTAATTCTTGATTAATGTCTGCAATTAAAATCAAAATTATATTATTACTAAGTACCTACTTAAAAGTTAATTAATAAATACACTTTGTTTTTTTCACTTTGTTAATAGTATACTTATTGATTATTGTACGTTTTTATACAATAATTAAATTCTACTTTGAAATAATTTGGTTTATGAATTTTAAATGATAAATGTACATAGATTTTTAAAAGTACATAATATAAGAAAAAAACCACGGTTTTTAAGTTGTAAGCTGTATTTACGTTTTTTTTACATTTAAAACTATTTTGGAGTAATTGAGAAAATTATCTGTGGAAGTGCCTATAGTGACCCGAAATATTACGGTAAAATATAAATATTTTACGAAAATAAATTTTTATTGAACATTAATTAATCAAGTTTGTTATGGGTTATCGGTGTCTAATGCATATTAGCAAAATGAACATTCCGAGATTTCTTTAGGCATAAGTAGGCACCTACTAAGTATACATATAGTGAAATTATTATTTATTTTACCTATCATGCTTATCATCTAAGGTTTATAGGACGTTTTAAATATCTTGTTTTTGAAATGAACCGGTTTATTTATATTAAATAAAAAACAAGGCGTGAAAGTCTTGAAATTCTTTTGCTCTTAAATATTTAAATTTTAAGTTCAAACCGTTAAAGGGTCACCAATTTCTAACTTAATCCTTGTAGAACTAATAATAATAATAAGCAACTTTGAGAAATCTTTGTTGTTTATGTACATTTTTTTTAACTACTTAATTATTGTTCATTATGTTAATTATTCTTATTTTTGTTGCAATTAATAAATTTAGATCTTGTTGAGTTTTGACTTACTCTATATTATTGTAAACAATTAAAACTATTAATTTTTTTGATTTTTCATATTTACAAACAGTCATTTCATATTCTATGTTATGTAGTGTTAAATCTTTAATTATTTTAATAATAAACTAATAAATAACAGTATACAATTAGTTTAAAATTATAATCTCTCTTAAAAATGCAACTACATGCATACGCATTGTAAGTAGATTAATATCATCTATATTTGTTTTATTTTGGCTAGCTTAATTTTAATTTTGATTTTATAACAAAACAATAAAAAAGTGATATGTTTTTATTTTGTAACTCGAGTCAAGGTAAGATGGTAATTGATAGTAGTGTAAATAATTTGCCGGTCACACTTCGCACAGACTAGTGATTTTTAAGCTGCAGTGTCTCACGAAGCCAATTATATTATATAGGAGCTCCACGGAAATACCGAAATAAAACCAAGTTTTTGTCATATTGTTGGTTTAAATTTGACATTCCTAATTTTCAGGGATTCTTAAATTCCTTTTTTAGCCTTTCAAGGGCTCTACGAACAAAGACATTTCATAACCGCTATCATAGATCGTTAAAAATTATATTATTATACTAAATCATTAATTACTATATGGCTTAAGATTTAAACTCTACAGATACTTATAAATTACATGAACTACCCCTAATTGTTTAGGTCGAAGATATCAGAGTTAAAAAATGTACATAATCTATATTATAATATAAGTAGTAATTAAAAAGTAATTTTAAATCACCGAATAGAAAAAATAAGATAAACAACTCTATATATCATTATAGAATGTGATATGGTGAAAAATAGTTAAAGAAATAAATAATCGTACATATACCAAAAATATACAAAAGAACGGCCGAAATCAGAACGTGTAAATGCGTGATGACAAACTGTAAGTATTAAATATGTGATGCGTTAATTCGGTTAAACAACGACACATTACCATAAAAAGGTTACAAAACACAGTAAACGTGAGTATTTGTTCGGTGTATATTGGATAAATATATACACATAATCGAGTATAATATATCTACATTGCATACTTGTATTAGGTACAGTTATTGAATTTGTGGCGATAAGTGTTATTACAATTTCAAGACATGCATTATGTAGCGCGTATAGTACAACACGCCTGACTACCACATCGTCCCAATAAGGGATTAGAAAAACGTAAACAATGCTACAATAGTTTATCAACTATTTTGATGGTAGCTGATATTACATTATATTATGTACACTATTGTAAAGTCGTTCACATACGTAAGTGCACCCAAGAGAGAAAGAGAAACGAATACGACTCGTTTAATTTTATTATAATATTATAGTATGACATAAATTCAGGGTTAGAATCTATAATATGTACAATATAAAAATGTAAAATCTACTAAGATATGCAATTTTATTAAAATACAATATGATATAAGTTCACTAATATATTCTAAACTATCATTAAGCGAATGATTATAGAACAGATCGAATAAAATTACTTTTCATACCTATACATAAGCTAAATCAGTTTTGTTAGTCTAACTTTTAAATAATTCCATTGTAGATGGAATTTGAAAAATATTACAATCAATGCGACAAAAAAAACAATAATTTTATAAAATCGATATATAGCGTATAACCTGTCCATCTAGTCCGTTCTCATTACTTTCGTTCAAATCTTATTTACTATTGAGTAGATGCATTTTCCGTCTATATAGTTTTGTAAGCTAATTGCGCGTCATGGAGTAATATAGCATTCTTAAACCTGTACAAATGACTAACTAAATATTTTGACTGAGGAATAAACGTCAAATTCCGGTTTAGCAATAAAAATAATAACCCATAAAATAAAAAATAAAAAAATAAATCATTATCGTATAGACATATTGTTAGGCGATTTATGGACATACCTAGCCTATACATTTTTAAAAGGACGGACGTTGTGAATAAAAACATACCAAACCATCTAAATCCTATTCCCTTTAGTTATTTAATGGAAATTTCTGAAAATAATAAATTATTTTTAGCCAACTGTGAAGCATAGCTTTTTTAACACAAAATTTTAATTAGTTACTAATGAACTCAATTTTGAAACTTTTACATGGCAATTTTTCGACATTTAAAATTAATTATCTTTTTTTTTTTAATACTTCTACCGATAATTTTAAAATGAAATCTGTTAGTTGAATCGTTTTACACACATTTTATAATTTCCGTCTTATAAATATTTTAGACGACCTGTACATACGTGAAACTCAATAAATAATAATTATATCTCGTTTAAAATGTTTAACATTCGAGAAATTTTTACATTTTTTAAACTATGAATCTCGTGTATACTTGCAGTGATTTTTATACTACATATTTTTTTATTTTTTTTTTTTGAGATTATAGTGCATTCACAAGGTTTTTTAATGTTTTAAATTTCACACAGCCCCAAATACTATTAAATTATATAATGCTACGAGAACATTAACGTTACGGTGCTATTGCTATACTCACTCATCAATTGCAATACGAGCAAAATACTGAATCCGAACATAATGGACAATAAGTGCAAGAATCCCGACTGTTTGTGCCTGGCAAGCACCTCAAAGAACACTACGTACAGCAGAGTGCCCGCGGCCAGCCCCTGCAAGATGACGGCCACCCTTCCCGGAGATCCGTCCACGGTGCCGCCGCTGCCGCACTGCACTAGCACCATGCCGATGATGATGCCCACGGGCGTGACGAGCGCAAACGTGGCCACGTACATGACGAGCACGGGCCGCCGGGTCTTGGACCAGGCCAGTTCCAGGCCGATGCAAAAGGCGATGACCAGCTTGTGCGTGGCCACGGCGATGAACAGGTACCACACGTTATCGACGCGCTCCTCCAGCCCTATGGCCAGGCCCTCGAACACCTCGTGGAACGACAGCGCCAACACGGTGAACAGGCCGCGAAACGAGTGGCCACCGTCGATCCCGCCGCCGCCGTCACCGCCCAGCTTCATCTGTTTCTCGGTGTCACCGTCACAGCCGTCTACTCGCTGCCGGTGTGCGGTTCGCGGGGGCGGCGACGCCGCAGTGCCGCACCCCCAGCCCGACGGCCGATACCGCTTGTCGTGCGGCTTGCCCGGCACCTCGTTCTGCAGAAGCTCCTTGTTGCTGGCCACCGACATGCCGCCGGTCACCGACGGAACGGAGCTGGGCGAGCCTCCGCTGCCGGCAAGCGAGGCCCTCGGTATGGACATGGTCCGCCGCCTCAAGCTCATGGACCGGTGCAGCACCTCCTCGGCGGAGCTGCGGTCCGCGTGACTGGCCGCGCACCGATCCAGCACCGAGTGCACGATCTCGTCCACGATGAATACCATGAAGAACCCGGCGCAGAAAATCAGGTCGCCCAGGTGCTCGGTGCCCTCCCCGTTGGGCAGCTGCCCGGTCTTCTGCAACCGGCCGACGCCCTCCCGGACCTCGGGCTGCAGGTGCAGCAACGTGGTGAACAACAGCACGCCGCCGCCGAAGCACAGCAGCAGCGACACGACCGGCGAACCGGCGGCAGAGTCGCCGCCGTGCGAGTGTCCGCCCTGGTGCGTCGGCGCGGCCGCCGGGTCCATCCGCCACCACTTGGTCAGCTTCAGGGGCACGACGCCCAGCACGAACGAGCCCAGACCCAGGACGAGCATGGCGAACGTCTTGGCCACGATTGTCTGGTCGACGAGCGCCGATGTGCTGGTCGCCGTCATGTCGTCCGACACTATCCTCGTCGTCTCGGCCATGGTGTCGCTCCGCGCCGTATTATATTACCGTGAACTCTGTTGCAGGTATTATAATAGGTATTATTTTATCAATATTACCGCCGCGGTATCGCATAAAATCGCGTAAGTCGTCGTCGCTACTATCTCGTCCGCATATGACGTGTTATACTATATTGTGTTATACTATATTATAATAATACGTACGGGCGAATCGCTAGTGTGACGCACAAAAACATAAAATATAATAATAGCTGTATAGCACGCGTGTGCGCGGGCGCGCGCGATTAATCCGCAGTGAAACGCGGACGACTTCGCAGCGATCAAACGCCGTCACTGCAGCACCGACGACGATCCCGTGCACCACCCGAAACGACGACCGTTGGCGAACGCATAGCACGGCACCAGTCTCGGAACGCGGACGCCGGTTACTGCGTGTGTGCCGTGTGTGCGACTACGGCCGAACGTGGAGAACCGTCGTGGTGGCGTCTACTACGGCGGCGAGCGGCCACCACCACCGCCGCCGCCGCCACTAGTCACTACTACTACCGCTGTCGCCGCCGACGCTACATCGTGTACCACTACCACAAAAACACGCACGAAAATCATATGTATTATTATTATTATGTTGTACTGCACCATACTAAGAAGGTAGTTTCCGCATCTTTCTCTCACCTTCGCTCACGTGTACACGCATGATAAATTACATATACGCGCGTACAGTCTCGTTGTTGTTGTTATTGTTGTTGTTGTTGTTGTTGTTGTTGTCTTTGTCGACGGTGTAAGAGGAGAATCGATCCGGCCGGATGGTTCGAATAAAATGTGTGCGCGCGTGTCGACGATGACGCACGATCCGACGGAATATAATACCTGTAAATAATTGCAATTGTTTTATAGATTATGTATATTATGAATAGTATGATACGCTTACACCGTAAAGCAAGCCCGGATTAAGACATTATTTAGAGGACTCGGGTCTAAGTTTTCAAACGAGTCCATCACAGTCCACGAGGCCCCCGAAAAAAATAAATACGATTTACTGTAATGTCTTGTGTTTTTAAACGGTTAAATTAATTATCACTTGGGTAAAAAAAAAAAAAAAACTATCCGCATTAAAAATTTTTCCTTGATTTTAATTTCTCAGATAACGTCATTATTTGATCATTGTTTGTTATTCGCAATAAATCTTTCTCTGATACCAATATCACAGCGCTCATTTCGGAGTGAACGTAGCCACTTAATCTTTCAAATTTTCTACTTTACTATTTTACCACTTTTCTACCATTTTGTAAAAACATTATATTACAATATAATATAAATCACCTCTTAATACTTGGACTATTGAAAAAAAAATGACGTATACCTTTTGGTTTTTTTGCATTTTCTAACAAATAATAAAAATATAGAAATAGCCCTCTTATTGTTTCACTTCGCGGATTATCACTTAACTTTGCCCTCTCAACACCTCAGCACCATCAATTCCTACACACAATTGAATTTCAATGTCACACCTATACATATCATTTGCCAGTTTCTGTAAAAGATATCTAGTTGATTATTTGTATAGTTATATAATAAAATAATAAATATAATGAAAATTATCAGCAGACTTAGTTGCTAGAGTCTACACTGCGTATCTGTTAATTAGTTACATCATTCGAATGTCTAATCTTATTATTAGATGCACTCAATTTTGTAGCGCGTGTTTGATGAAAAAAATAAATGAGATTGAAAAAAAGATTTTTACTTAGAGTTTAAAACTTTAAATATTACTATATATTATTGCAAATACACAATACATATTTTAAGCCTTTTTTGGGTGCTAGTGGGTATCACTCGCTCCGCCTGCAGACACCTCTGTTTCACTCTGATCATTCAAGTGAGGGCACTTTCCATAATATGCCACTAGCGGCTATTTAATAACTAGCCACTAGCTAGGTAGATACCATATTATGAGTAGGCACTATGACGATTTATTGATAACGGATAAACCGGCTTGCTGCTAACAGGTCCATTCCTATTGGTATATCCAGTAGACATACATTGACACACGTGTATATATTATCAACCCGTCGTTGCTTTCGTGTTCTAATTTCAATTATTAAAAAGTAATCGCCTTGATATATAAACGTGCATTAGGACGTTGACCTATAGATTTATAATATTTGTGCAGAAATGTCTGTCTCAAGTTGTAACAAAAACATTATTACTTATAAAACGATTGAAGTGTATTAATAAATATATTATTAATCAAGAAAGTTAAATAAATAAAAATTCAGACATCCTAGAATTATCTCGAAATTAATATTATATCAATTTTTTCCAATTAAAAATAGATAACAGTAGTGACTAATTTAAGTTATTAAACACAATACTTTAAAATACCAGTCGTTTAAATCTTTTCACTAATGATTTTTTCAATAACATCCATGACCACAATAACTTGCATTCACTGTTTAAATCGTTACACGTTGACCATGAGACGTTTTTTATCGGTAAGTATCAGCTGTAATTTAAGTATGTATACCTATAAATCATGTTAACCTATATTGTATTATGTTATATTATTATTTCTAGAGCCTAAAATCCAGCACCAAAAACTGTTACTCTATTTTCGTAGTGATATATACCCCACTAAGCTTTCATTGAACTTTGAAGAATTCACATAAAAAAAATTAATAGTTTTAAATTATTACATAATATCATACTTTATAATATTATTTTATTATAAGAGAAACAGGCGTGGAATGAAATACGAATAAGAAGTTTTTCAGGACTTAAACTTTGCATAATAAATTATAACAAATTGTATTTTAATGTAAGTATACTTTATTTATTTTGATTTTTATATATCATATTTATTATTTTAGCAATAATTTCCCATTATTGTTGATTTTAATGGCGCAACGCGGCGCATAATTATATTTTAAAGTAATATAAAACACATTGCATTGTAAAAAACAACAAAATGATTATTTGATAAAATATACTATCAATTTTATATCGTCTGTAATGGCATTTTTAGAGTTATTTTTTATAATTTATTATAATATATTTATTAAGTTTTTAAAATTAATTTTTGAATTTTTTATTATTTATTTTTATATTGGTAGTAGTAATTTAATTTTCTATTAAAAACAAAGTACGTTGGTAAGTAACGTAGGTTATTGAATTAAGATTTGCCAAAATAAAAAAAAATCACATAAGTTATTATTTAGTAATTATTATAATATTATCTAGTATACTAATTTATTAGCTTTTATAAAATATTATAATAAGTTAATACCGATTCCCAACATAACATAAAACGATTGAATATGTCCGTGTTAAAATAATTAAAAACATGTCTAAATACAAAAAAATTAAATTTAAATTAAAATCTTTAATACGATATATTTATACCTAATGATGAAAAATTCATCATGATTATTATTTTTAGAATTATGACAAAATAACTGTAAAACTATTATTAAATATCCATTTTTGTCAAAATGTGAATAAAAAAGAGATTAAGTATATGAATATTATTACAAACTTTTAAAATGTTTTGGTTTCTGAAACAACAATGTATAAGAATTCTTAATTTCTTAAATGACTTGCACTAAATTTGCAAGCATAAGCTATTAAAATTTAAAATTTATAAACTATAATTTGCTCATTTTTGTGATTTTAACAACTATTTTAAAACTTGATTTTAAGCGATCAAAAAAAAAAAAATTATCCATATATTTTTAATATTTTTAAATTTTAGTAAGAACAGATTATTTAGAATATAATATATTTAATTTTTAAGGTTTTTAACTGAGCTTAAAAATGTTGAAAAACACTACAAACATTTCAAAATTTCAAAAACCTCCAATGGCTATAATAACCCAAAAATACTTAAATATTTTGAATTTTAAATTTTCTAGACAACACCAATTTAAATATTTAATAAAAAATCGTATCTCTACAGTCATTCATTTTTGAATAACAATAAAATAAATAAAAGAACCTTCAGAACAATACCAACTAGATCTTTTTGACTATTAACTAAAAATAGTAAATTATTACCAGAAATTACTCTCAAAATTAGTAATTTAAGTATTTTTACTATTCCAAAAGGTGATAACAAAAAGAAAAAAATTATTGTAAATCATTGCTCAGCTCAAAATCGCTCAAAATCTAAAAGAAATGTGGACTTTGTTTATAAAAAAACAAATGATAATTTTTCAACATGACTTTGATACCTAATAATTTTTATCTGATTTGTATTACGTTTAATAATTGATATTTACTAAAAATTATTGAAAATAATATTATCATTCTTATTTCATAATTCATAATTCATCATAATAAATACTAATCTATATAATGTATGCTATAGGTAATATGATGTATATATATATTAGTGTAAATGTACGGTATATGTAACTTCTTTATAAGGCAAATATTTTGTTGTTTGCATCATTCATAATAATTTCATGTATCAATGAACTCTACAAATAAGTAGTTTAAAAAATAAAGATTAGTTTTTAAATTCAATCTCATTTTTAATGAACATCTGAAATCTTCATAACTATTAACTTTTTAAATTACAACAAAATAACTAGGATTTATTTTATAATAAATGAGTAATTAATAATTTATAAATTATATAAGCTTATAAACCTAACTATTTTAGATTTTGAGCGTCTAGTGAAGAAATTTATTAATTTTACAATAATTTGTGGTTTTTTACTTCCACTTTTAAATTAATATCTGATAGAAAACACCATATTTAATTGAATTATTTTGACAATTTAAAAAAATATAGAAAAAAACATAGTCATACAAATACCACTTTTTCATGTTTAAAGCTCAAACTTTGACAAAATTTGATATCTAAACTAAAAATAATGTTTTACTCGTCAAACCATTTATCAAAAGTTTAACTGAATTCTCTATAACTCATGATAATTCTCAAAAACATCTCAAACTTTTATGATTTTGTGATCTATGATACTAATTTACATAAATGCATAATACTATTTGCTAACTGAAAATTATATAAACAATAAACACGATGAACCAAATAAAAAATGTAAAAATCTATTTGCAAGTATTGAGTAGATTTTCGCCTCAGTGTATCCCACTATTTGTATTATATAATATATTGTTTTTAATTACCTATCTCATATACTTATTGTGCCTTAAGATGGTTTTAGATTGTATTTCTTGTAAGATTATAACGGCTAGATCATTATTTTGTAAACTATTTATGATTAATTAGCATATTTTAAATAAATTTTTATCGACATCAATCAACACTGAAACACTAATACAATAGCAATTTGTAATTCTACTATTTCTACTTACTGAAATAAATAATTTTGTGAACATACTGCAGAAATTTTAAATAAAAAGTGTTAGTCTTACATTGTATCCGGTTTATTCAATTTTTTCTAGGCTATAATATTCATAGTTATAGATCGACAAATATGGTTTCAAACAAAAAGCTATAACGTAAGAACCAATGTCATA